TTTTCCACTTTCGTTGTTATTTTCAAATGCTGCCAATATGCTTTTTTTTCCAGTTTCTTGTTGCTTCAACAAATAAGTAGTGGCCAATACAGACATTGCTACAGAATTGTAGAATAATTTACAAGAAAAATGAAAGTTTTACAAACAATTTCTTTTGCTTTGACTGGGTCACTTTTACGTTCTGTTTTTACATATTTTTTGATTTTTTTTTTGCTTATTCGTTTGTTGAATTTTAGTAACTAAAAATTGTTAGCTAATGTTTTCGTTTTGTACAGTGAAATCAACCTATATAGTCTGAAAACTACTCAAATAATTTATTGGATTATAACCTTCATTTCTCTTTCTTCACTTTTTTTTTAACCTGCATTTTCACTGCTTTAAATAACTGACGAGAAAAAACAACTTGTTCATGCACCTTTTTTTCAACTGTTTTCTGTCTGGTTTTGTTTTTACTTGCTTATTGATAGAATTTTTTTTTTTTTTTGTTTCGTCAAAAAGCTAAGATAAAAAAGCAAAACAAAAAACCTCTTTTTTTGCACAAAAAAAAAAATTTTCATGAAGGAATAAACCGAAAAGTTTAACAGAATCTTTGTTATGGTAGCCGGTCATCAAAATTACATGTCATTTTTTGTTGACTGTATGTTGGGAAAAAAAAAATTGAAGAGAAGAAGTTGAAAAACGGTTGCTGTTTTTTTAGGTTAAAAGTTACGGTGAAAGCACACGATACAAATGAGATAACGTTATCAGATGGACTTCCGTCCTGTTCAGATGCATCGTTTTGGAAACATCCACCACTATTCTGTACATCAATGGCTATCTTTCAGGTATTAAATACAGTTTTCTAACAAATCGTTGTTGAATTATCAACTCAACTTTTTCAGTCTTTTTTCTTCTTCTTTCAGTTTGACAAATTATTATCAGCTGCTTATTTGTTTGGAAAAAAGAAATTTTTTTTTTTGTTTGATTTATTTTCTATGTTTAACTTTTCCAGAGCAATTTTTTTTCTGTCTTTTTGTTGCAACTGACGTATAGATGGCATTTGAAACTCCCGTTGTTAAAGTCTATAATTTACTGAAAATAAAAGCAGAATCTAAGGGGAAAAATGAAAACTTTTTATACCAGTTCACCATATTTCATCACTTAACATTCTGTTTGACCATTTATTAGTTATTTTTGCTGGATTTCTGTTTTTTTTTTCTCTTTTTTCAATAAAATAAATCACAATTTATAGGCAGTTCTTTCATAATAATAAAAAAAAACAAAGAATTTTTCATTGGTCACTGATACACCCACCTGTAATCTGAGTCTTTGTAAATTTGTGTTGATGAATGAAAGTTGTTTGCGATTATGGGGAATAGAAAATAAAGAAGTTTTGGCTGTAAAAATCTACCATAATTTTAGTAGTGCTAATATAAGTGAAAAAAAAAGAAAACAAAGGGAAGGGGATATAATTTTTATTAAAAACAACAAAAAAAAAAAGGAAGAGTACAAATGAAACGAATTATAAAAAATAGCTGAACATAATAAAGCAACCAAAATGATTGATTTTGAATTTTACTTGTCTTTTTCATTTCATTTCATTTCATTTCATTTTTTTTTCATTTCTTGCCAATCTTCAATTAATCTTCAAAAATCAGTTACAATATTTTTTTTTTCATCTTTTCTTTTTGATTTTTATAATATTAAAGCACAAAAAATAAGTCTGTCTTCTTTTCTTTGTTTTGCTTTGTTTTTTTTTGTTCAGTTGCTGTTTAGCTAAAATGTGACAGAGCAAAAGAAAAAAAAAAAA